AAAAAAAAACAACAAAAAAGAGCCATCCTCACCACAATGCCATTTTTTCTTCAATGAATGAACAAGGGAAGGGCAAAGTATATACCAAGCATTACTAATGAGCATGTTATGCTTCCCACAGCTCTGTCCAGGGGAATACATTTTCCTTTAGCATAAGGAAGCTATTGTCCCAAGAGAGTCGCAGTAAGAGGCTTCATTGATCAAAAAGAAATAAATAAAACAACAGCAGAACAGCCAGCAGAGAAGCTGGTCTCATTATAACAAGGATCTCCACGTTGGCCAACAATCTGGCATGCTAACTGCCACAGGAAGAACAAAAGGCAGCCTAATTCACAGGGAGTGCTCGAAGCAAGAACAAAGCAAAATATTCACACGACAGCTATCACAAAAATGTTCAGCATCTGCAGTTCTGCAGAAATGCCCAACAAAAACTGGTCATAAATATGGAGATTGAGGAGAAGAGTTGTAGCACTCAAACTTCAGGGGCCTGCTGTTTTAAAACTAGTCATTTTGTAAGCCTGTATGCATCAGGGCTCTCTAGAAAGAGATATGGGTTCACTTAGCATTGGGAATGGAATTTAAGAGAAAAATTTCATCAGAACAGACTATCCTGAATGGATTTTGAGCTGACAGTTAAAGTTGACTTAAGAGTTTGTCATTCTCAGATCCCACATCTGTCTGTTCTCAGACTGCAAGGAACACAGATGAACACTGCCTCATTGCTGGCAATGAGAGGGATGGTGAGGAAAACACTGCAGTAACAGGTGGTCATAACCAAATTGGATTTCTCCTAAAACCAGTGGGTTTTTCTGCATCAATAATTTGTATGTAATAAATGAAACAAGCATTTGACATTGCACTCAGGCAGCTCCCAGCTAGAACCATATCAGTTTCTTCAACTCATCTTCATTCAACAAGCAGTTAGTGCCCAGGGCTCACAGGTGTGAAAGAAAAGGCTCCAGAATGAATACATAATATGTAATTTGGCCATGTCTGGCTATGCCATTTCCATTTCCAGGCCAGCTGGTATCTTAAAGGTGCCTAGGAACGCTGTCTACTTGCTTCCCCCCTTTAAACAGGGGAAGCAGTAGAAACTGGAAAGTGCTTCCCAATCAGGTAACAAAGCCCAGTGCTTGGCAGATGTAGAGATTCCTGACCACCAGCACCATTCCCAGGAAACACATCCCATCTAATCTCCTCTGGCCCTTCTGCTGCCCACAGGCTCCATGGGATGGGTGGAGAGGAGAAACACTGCTTAACAGCACCTGATGGCAAGATCGATACAGCAGTGCTGATTTGCAGCAAGACAGGTGGGCAGCCCCAAATTATACACTGGGGAAGGCAACAGCTACCTTCAGCTGGCTGACTGCTGAGCCTCCAGCAAAGGACTGGAGCTTTAATAAGGAGAGGTGGAAAATAAGGTATCTAACACAGCATAGGGACAGGCATTTCTCAGGACGAGGGGTGCAGACACAGTCTGACAGCCACACAAAACCATTCCGACTGCTTTGTTCCCCACTGCTTTGTCCACCACTTTTCCCCCAATCTGAGGAAGCACCAAAGTTCTTCAACACCAGTACTCCAGGGTGCTAAGCACATGCTCTCGGATGCTGCCCAAGATATCTAACTCAGTATCAGCTGTATTAGGTTGGATACATGGGCCCCAACCAGCAAGACACGCTACCCTAATTACAAGCCATTCTATAGCACAAGATGAACCACATCCAAATCTCATTTCATTAGATGGCCCTGTTTACAAGGAAACAAAAAAGTCCACAGCTCTGCAGCTATTTAGTATGCAGATGAAGCAGCCGTTCATATAGAACTTAAAGGGATTTACAGGCTCATTAAAAACCTTTGGGAAGAAACACTTTCACATCCTCACCCTTTGCTTAAGAAATATCACACTTTATCTTCAGCTCCATCAGCACCCAAAGGCTGGTAGAGCAGATCAGCCCAGAGCAGCTGGAATCTGCAGGCGAGCCTGACAGCACCTACCGAAATCCACATTTTTAAACACTGTCAAATGAAAGAAGCTGTCGTAGCAGGACCTGTTGAAACCTACCAGAAGACATCCAAGATTTTTTCAGAAGAGAGGTTAGCACAACATGACACGTCCTCCGAGCGCTACTCCCTGTCACCACTGCAATTACAGAGCCCTTTCGCTCACGGCTGAGTCAGCAGGAGTTCTGCCTCCCTGGGGAAGCCTCAGAGGCATGAAAGGGAAGGAACCAGACGAGTTGGCACGGCGGGGCTGTGGAGTGGCATCACAGTGTGCTGGCGGCTCTCCTCGGGGCTGCCTTTCCACATCCTCAAGCGAGAGCAGACACTGCCCCAGGGGCACCTGGCAGGGCTGGAGCCCACCTGAGCTTCAGGGCAAGCACTTCATCCTGGAGGTGTCACAGCTCCTTCCCCACAGGAGCATCCCGTTTGAGAGCCTCTGGTCCTCCCATGCCACCGCTTGCACTGAGACATCCTGCTTCACATGAACCAGCTTTATTTTCTCACTTTTCCACCCCAGTTTTCTTCCAGTGAAGTAACACAGTGGGAAGCACTGCTCAATGCCTTCTGACCAGCAGGAGGAACGTGCTGAAACTTGATATAAAATCTCATCTTATTATGAAAGACCCACCTGCCACATTTATCACTGCCACGCACAAGCCAGCTATGCCCTGAGTCCCCTCGTCTCTATCTGATACTTACGCCAAAGAAGGCACACAGCATCCCTGGAGCACCGCAAGCCTTTAGGCAGAGAAAGGAAACGACGTTTCCCAGCTCGCTACGCGACCCTGATGGGCACTGTCACGGGGCACGCTTCCTACAATACCAGCACCGCACCCCCAAACGCGAGAACTGATTCACAAAGTTGCGCGCGAACGCTTCCCTCTCCCTTGCCGTGCTCGGCTCCGCGACACTACTCTCGCACGAGAGTTACCGAGCCCCGAACCGCCGTCCCGCTCCCGATGCCCACCCGCAGACACTCACCTACACCCCAGCGCCCACCGCTCCGCACCGCCGCCACACAGCACGGCACCCCCGCCCCGCGCCGGCCGCTCTGTTCGAAAGAGCCAATCAGCGCCCGCGGGGCGGAGCCGCACCTGGCTCCGCGCCACCGGCAGCCGCGCCCCGCAGGGGAACCGCCCGCCCACAGCCCCCTCTGCGAGAGTGCGGGTGTCAGGCTGCGGCCGCCGTCCAGCGGTAGGGTCTTGGACGTTGCCGCTCAAGAGCAAAATAACCTGATTTTTACTTTGAAATAGTAAGAAAGCAGATTAAGTTACACGTCTGTGTCATTGTGTGCGTGCGCGTCCCTCTGCCCGTGGCGATTTTTCATCTCGTGAAGAAATCGGAGCTTGCCTGTCTCACGTGGCGAGCACATTTCAGTTACACACCGTGGCAGTAATCATTTCTGCTGGTTTATTACAGTAAATATTTGGAATATATTCTTTAATGGAAACCAAGCACAAAAACACAGCAATGAAAAATGTGAATGGAAGCCTGAATCGCCCCATTTTGCAAGAGGAACTCTGCAAAGAGAGCAACTGCAGGAGGGATTAGTGGGGTTCCTGTGAGGAGCCATTGAATTCTTTCCGATCAAATAATATAAATACAGAGAAAATTATAACTCACTTGTGGAAATCTGACAGCTATACAGTATTCTGTGTATAATGCACAAAACGGCTTTTGTGAACTCCGTGGCAAGTTTCTATAAAAATGCAGTAAAGAAAAATTAATGCACTGTGATATATTGCTTTTTCCTATGAAAATAAATGCTGTGTGGTCCTTTAAAAAGACGTTTGTCCTGAAATAAAAACAACCGGTATCCATCACTGCACATCCCAGATCTCGCAGAGGAGAGGGGTGAATTTGTGGTCATTCACTCTCCAGGACATCAGCATCTCTGCGTGGTGGTGGTTAAACGTCCGTAACTCGGTGAGGCGGCCCAGGAGGCACGCAAAGTGCTGTGGGTTGTCCGGGTGGTGCAGCTTGCAGAACTTCTGCAGGATATCCAGCAGTGGCTCCTGAAGCCTTTCCACCGACTCTCTGTCCTTTATGTATTGTCGGTCTGGTTTCGGTTTCAAAAGGGAAAGAAGTAATTAGCAAATGTATGTTTGATACAATGGAAGTATTTACTCTGATGAACAAATATCAGTA